TGGTGAGGAGGAAATGGAAAGTGATGACCAAATGTCAACTAAAGAGTTGAAAGATGTGATTTACCACTGGGAGAAGTTCAGGGAACTGGCTTGAAAGCACCCATATGTGGAAAAAGCTGAACTAACTTTGTGTCATGTTGAGGACTCAATGGTCTCCTTCTTTAAACATAAGTTAATGGTGAGGAGGAGAGATGCCCCACAGATCACAATTGACACTTGCTTCAGTAAAAGGCAGAGGGAACAAGATGCTATCCCTCAGCCTTCTACTTCAAGAAGGAGAGAGGATGTTCATGGTGGAGAATCTGTCAGTCCAGAGGTTCCTGACATTTTCATGGAAGGTGACTCACCTTCCAAGAAGCAGTAAAATGCTTCTCCTCCACCTCCACTTCCTTCTCTTCTCCCTTCTTCTCCTCCACCTCACACTTCAAATTCACATCAGTTTTTTTTTTTTTTTTATCGGGCACCCCTCTACATCCTTGTGTAAGGTGAAGCTCAGAAGCATTTACAGCGCCCAACAGGGTAGCATGCTAAGTTCATGCTTGCCGTTATGTCTCATGAGTTAAGGGCGTAGAAGCCTGAAGAGCCAAGGGCGTAGAAGCCTGAAGAGTCAGTGGTTTATGTCATCAAGTTATTGGAAGCTCCAACAACTCCCTGAATACGAATTTGCAACTTTCGACTTACAATAGGTACCTACTTTACTGCTAGGTGAACAGGGACTAATGGGGGCGAGAAGTAAGTCCAAACAACTTCCACCGGCCCGGGAATCGAACCCATGACATCTCGCTATCAGCATCATCATCCAGGAGCCTTCTACATACACACCTCAAAGTAAGTGTCAATTTCTAACATTTTTGTTGAATTTAGGCAATTTTCGGTGAGCTGGAACCAATTACCCAAAAACCCATTAAAACAATGGTTTCGGTTAACGAGATTTTCGGTTAACGAGCAATCTGCTGGAACGGATTGTGCTCGTTAACCGAAGGACCACTGTACACAATCGACACCAGACAAAATTTTTACCAACAACAGTCTTTTTCAATTACCATATTAAACAAGGACCTCTCACAGGCAGCGACCAGTGACGAAAATGGCTGATGCTGGAGCCTTGCTGGGTGCCAAACTAGAACAAGTTGGGAAAGAGATCCTTGCTAGGACTGAGGAAGTAGCAGATAGAATGGATGTGGATGCTAAGAGGAGTTATGCGGAGGCATTAGCAGGGCCACGGGAGGTGGCGGAGAGTAATGCAGGATCAAAACAGGTTCTACAGCAGCTAGGGACAACGGGAACGTTTCCAGGGCAGGAACAATGTAATAGTTTTTGGAGTCCCTGAGAGCCAGGCAGAGGGGACACAGTAAGATAACACACGATAAGATGCAGTATAAGAATATTTGTTCAGAGGTTCTGAAGATGCCACCAACCCCTCAGGATGCGAGGAGGCTGGGACAAAAGCAGGGTTAAAAGCCTCGCCCCTTCAAGATCACATTAGTGAGTGAGGAGGAATAATGGGAGGTTATTCGGCAGGCAAAAAACTTAGCAGGTAGCGAGACATTTCAGAGTGTTATATTCGGGGTAATGGAAGCAAGTGTGCCGACACAGAACCAGGGGGCAGCAACGAACATGCCACCCGCTCTACCCCCCACCCGGTAGGTGGTACCAGCTCCACCTATCAGCCGGGAGGAGGCGAGCGAGGTGTAAACAATGACATTTCTAACCACACCCTGCAAAATACAGTATAATTTGTTAATTCTGCAGCTTCTGAGACTGGAGGTGGCTGGAGTTACTACTAAGAGCAGAGACGTTACCGAGAACAAATATTGGCTTGAATGTCATGTACACTAATACGGATACGTTCCTTGATAAGAGAGAGGAGTTGGAAACACTACTGAAGGTACACCAACCAGATATTGTGGGAGTTGTAGAACTGTTGTACAAGAAAAGGAGAATCGACCCAGAGGAATGCGAGTTCAGTATTGCTGGATATGGCTCATTTACGAACCTTTCTCAAGAAACTTGCTAGGCAAGACCTTAGAGCCAGCCAGGTGAGGGTACAGGGAGAGGATGTTTTTGAAGAGTCCAAGTGGTGTATTTACAGATACCTAAATTGTGGTCCACTAAATCAAAGGAACTTAAGAGCCTTAATAGACAATGCAGTGATGCTCAACCCTAGCCAACTCCTTATCATGGGGGACTTTAACTATGGCGACATCGACTGGAGAAACGAGTTCACCCCAAATGACATTAATAACCCAGCTACTCTTTTTGTAGAAACTCCGAGAGATAATTTTCTGTTTCAACATGTTAGAGACCCGACACATTACAGAGGGGAGCAAACATCCAAGCCACTAGACCTCATCATAACAAACGAGGAGGGTATGGTGGGCAAATTGGAACACCTTGCCCCAATTGGCGCCAGTCACCGTAGTGTTTTCATTCAGATTTAACTGTTACCTAGTTCAAGTTAAGGCCAGCCCAAGGTGCAAATATTACAAAGGAAATTACAACGGGATGTGGGAAGAGATGAGGAGTTGTCCACTGGCCTGACTCATAAAAGCACAAGAACGCAGACAATAAGCTGAATATCATAACTAGCAAAGTGACCAATTTGATCGATAAATACATACCCAAGACCAAACCCAGTGCCTCTAAGAATACAGAGGGATCCCTACACATGAACCATGCAGCGATCGACAAAGTTAAGAAGAAAACCAGGAAGTTCAAGGCGTGGGTTGGGTCAAACGATGTGCAGGACAGGAGGATGTATGCAAGAGCCAGAAACCAAGCAAAGGCAGAGTGTAAAAAGGCTGAAAAGGAGTACCAGAGGCTGGTTGCAAGCGAGGTCAAATCAAAGCCAAAGGCGTTTTACCGCTATGTAAGTTTAAATTAAAAACGCAAGTAGGAGTATCAGACCTGAGGCTTGAAGATGATAGTTATGCAGATTCTGACCAGGATAAATCCGAGGCATTAAACAGCTTCTTTTCCTCGGTGTTCACAAGAGAAGATGCGTTTAACCTTCCTGCGTTTGAGGACAGACGGTTCGACACAGCACTGACCCACATTGTGTTCACAGAAGAGGGTATTAGAAATAAACTGTCAAAGCTAAAGGTCCATAAGAGTCTCGGCCCTGACATGGTGCATCCCAGAGTGCTAAGAGAGTTGTGCAAGGAGCTTACCGAGACCCTGAATATCCTGTTTTGTAAATGCCTGGATGAATAAAGGTCCCCAGTGTTTGGAAAATGGCTTATGTGAGTCCTATCTTCAAGAAGGGCGATCGTCACTCCACGAACAACTATAGACCAGTGAGCCTGACCAGCATAATATGTAAAGTACTTGAGGGTATTATCAGAGATGCAGCAATGGAACATCTACTACGAAACAACTTTGTAAAGGATTGCCAACACAGTTTTATGCCAGGGCACTCCTGCTAAACACAATTGCTCAAGAAATTGGATATTTGGACCCATATTCTGGAACGGGGTGGTAATATCTACAATATATACCTAAATTTTGCCAAGGCTTTCGACAGTGTACCCCACGAAAAGTTAAAAATAAAACTAGAAGAGTACGGAATTCGAGGAAATGTCCTGGAGTGGATAGAAGACCTATATGACCGCAAGCAGTGTGTGGTGATTAATGGGACGAAATCATCATCTGTACCTGTCACAAGCGGGGTACCACAGGGCAGTGTAATGGGCCCACTGTTTGTTTGTTTCGTAAATGACATGCTTGACGTTGTACACTCTTCCATACAAATGTTTGCCGATGACGCCAAGTTATTTCGGGAAATCAAGAACCAAGTGGACTGTGAAGAGCTGCATGAGGATCTAAGCTCCAAGAGTGGTCGAAGAAATGGCTGCCGAGATTCAATGTCACGAAGAGTAAGAAGTGTGTACCAACGGTAAGGAGGCGTATCATATGTCCCAACGGGATAAAGAAACTGCACTATTTCAAACTGAATGTGAGAAGGCCCTAGGTGTGTATGGTGACAATGAGCTGAAGTTCGTAACATTGCAAGATGGTAAATCAACCCATCTGGTCCCCGAGATATGCAAGGGACTGTCAGTTGGTTTAAAATGTTCAAAGGATGGCCATCCAGACTGGTGCCTGTACTTCGGCACCTCAGCTACCCTAAGAGATCGGAGCGCCTGAACTTGCCTAGCTTATACTACAGATGGGCAAGAGGTGACCTAATTGAGGTGTATAAGCATCTCAAGGGGCACTACTCAATTGCGTGTTCTTACTTGGAGCTGCCGGACGCTCGACCCACACGGGGTCACAGCTCAAGATTGAAGAAGTCACAAGTCCAGAAAACTGAGGGGAAACCTTTTCGGAGTGAGAGTTGTGAACTCTTGGAACAATCTACCAGAAAGTGTTGTGATGGCACTGAGGGTGAGCTCTTTCAAGACCAGACGTAACAGACATAACCGATCGCCCAAGCAGCTAATGAGCCACTCAGGCAGTGGTTCCCAACCTTTTTTGGCTGCGACAATAAATTTCCCAACAATACGGTGTTGCGACCTTCAGGCATATTTTATATTATATAGCTTGAATGTTTAGTAAAAATTTTTTTGACTATGATGAGTACTTTATCTTTTAATTGTCTGAAGTCCCCTCGCGACCCTACTAAGGACATCCCGCGACCCTGATTTGGGTCGCGACCTGAAGTTGGGAACTGCTGATGTACAGTATCATATTACCACAAGACAACTAATTCAAGTTCAGCATTTTCTATGTAATGTGACTGTTATATTGAAATTTGACAATTACTCTGGAAGTTGGTGCCTATTTTCCTGAATAAATTGGGTAGAACTCTCAATTTATTACCAATTTCAATATAGAATCCTGTATTCTAATACTACAGTATAGTGTTCCTTCCATACAGAATTCTCATCAAACTATATTGTGTATTCATTGGTCACATGTTCATTATTACTTTGCATTACCTGTTGTTAGAGATTGTTTCTTTATTGCAGATACTTATCAAAGGTTAAAAGGAAAAGGAATTGATAGATGATTTTTATTCCAAACTTTATGGAAGCTATGGTATTACAAACTCAAATAAATAGGTTTACATACAGTAATATCTCTGTTAGCCGGATTCCTTCAAACCTGGAACTCTCCGATAGATGGAATTGAAATTAGCTCGGAAAAGCATTCCCAAAGCCGTAATTTAAAAAAAAATCCGGCTTTGGGAACAAATTTTTCCTTGGTCGAAAATCGAGACCATATTCTAAAAATGTCTTGAATAAAGACGAAAGCTCAAATATTTTTGGGAGGGACCAGACATCCTCTTTAATAAGGTGATAATCAACTCTAGGATTGTTCCAGCACTGGCAGAAACACCCAATAAGCATACAGTAGTCATTTTATCACTCAATACACAAAGCTAAAGTAAAAAAAAAATAATAATAATAATCTGACAATAAAAGCACCGACAGCATATTGTGCTTGCCTTGATGAACTTCAAATTTCACCAAAATATAATTTACTGGCCAGTTACTTGGTCCAAAAATAGTGGCCTTTTGAAGAGAACTTATACCTCAGAGACCTTATCTGGTGGCATGTAACCACATTCTCCCAGCTGCTTCAACACCACCTGACCATCAGGACGAATAATGAGGTATGTCATGCTTCCATTGTTCACCGTCATACGTGACCAAGCTTCAAGAGGAAGTTGCAAGGCTCTGGAAAAGGAGTTCTAATGTTACTTCATGATTTGCTGACAAAAATAAAGCAAATGACAGAATTAAGAGCAGTGTTGAATTAGAATGAATCAATTTGCAGAGACATGTAACAAATGTAGAATTGAGTTAAATGTATAAATTGTCAGAAACTACACATTTTATTATTACACAAACACATTCACACAGGTACTCTTCAGGTCATGTAACACTTGGCTTGTGTATGTTTGACTTTACATAAAACTACTATCAAAATAAAAAAATATCGGACGCATAGATTTTGCACGAAATCGTCATCCGTACCTGTCACAAGTGGGGTACCACAGGGCAGTGTATTGGGCCCGCTGTTGTTTGTTTCATAAATGACATGCCTGACGTTGTACACTCCTCCATACAAATGTCTGCCGATGACGCCCAGTTACAGGTGCTCCCCGACTTACGACTGCTTGGACTTACGTCCATCGGTACTTACGACCTGCTCTGACCTTACGACCGTCGGGACATACGACTGCGGCAGTCGTGACCAAAAATGTTTTCAAATGACATGCGCATTTTCTATACCAAAACGTTTCTGTCCTGGGCGAGAGCGTGGCGAGAGGCAGCTAGTGCCGATGTTGGTGCTGCCGAATCTTTTAAGGAGGAGTTAGATAAAGTGATTGTGGAAGGGAATTATTTGCCTGAGCAAATATTCAATGTGGATGAAACTGGATTATTGTGGAAGCGCATGCCTGAGCGGACATACATCCACAAAGAGGCGAAAACAATGCCAGGATTCAAGACATTCAAGGACAGAATTACACTTCTGTTGGGGGGGAATGTTGCTGGTTTCAAGCTAAAGCCCTTCATGATCTATCATTCAGAGAACCCCAGGGCTTTTAAACGTAAGCAAGCACACACTGCCAGTGTTTTATTGCAGTAATAAGAAAGCCTGGATGACCTAGTACTGTTTGAGGAATGGTTCATGACTTGTTTCATTCCACGAGCCAAGGAGTGTCTGCAACAACGGATTCCATTTAAGATTTTGCTGATTTTGGATAATGCTCCGGGACACCCACCACACCTGGACGACATGCGCCCTGATGTTAAGGTAGTCTACATTCCACCTAACACTACCTCTATCATCCAACCCATGGATCAAGGTGCTATTGCTGCCTTTAAAGCGTATTATTTACGCACGACCTTCGCTCAGGTTGTTGCTGCTACTGAAGGTGAGAAAATGCTCAGAGAGTTTTGGAAGGAGTACAATGTTTTGTCATGTATAAAGAACATTAGTGCAGCATGGGATCAGGTTACAAGACATTGCATGAATGGAATATGGAAGAAAATCCTGAAAAGATATGTGAAAAGTTTCAAAGGATTTAATGAAAATGAAGTTATTTCGGATATTAGTAACAAGATAGTGGAGTTAGGTAAGCAGCTGGAGTTAGAAATTGATAATGAAGATGTTGGACAGTTGGTTGAAAGTGTAGCAGAAGAGCTCAGTAACGAGGATCTTATTAAACTAGATGCACAGAAAATTGCAGAAGAAGAAGAGAGACAAAATGTAGAAGAAGAACCTGCACCCCCCAAAAAGTTTTCAGTGAAACAAATGGCAGAGGCATTTGCTACAATTAATAAAGGAATGCAAATGTTTGATGGCATGGATCAAAATTATGAGCGTTATGCCAAAGTTGACAGAATGATCCAAGATGCACTTGCTTGCTACAGAGAAATTTATAATGAAAAGAAAAACAAACTGTGCAGTCTAAATTGGACATCCATTTTAAGAAGTCCCTCAGTGCTGTCTCCTCACGCCCCACCAGTGCTGCCTCTTCACTCCCTAAAGATGATCCAATACCTTCAACCAGCAAGTTTCCAGTCCACAAACCTGTCTAAAGAAAGCAACAATGATGACCCACCCAGCCCTGTCTCCTCCTCTGCTTCTTCCAATTAACGTAGTCTCTATGTATAATAAGAAAATTATGGGGGCCCCGTGTGCATTCAGCCGACTACATTAAAGGTAAGTGCTCAGTCACACTGTATCCATTCCTCATGATTTATTACTTTTACTGTACTGTATCCATTCCTCATTATTTATTACTTTTACTGTACTGTATTTCATTGCAGATTTTTTATTTTATTTATTTTTTTAAAAAGTTGATTTTTTTTTATTTATTTATTTATTTATGTCGGACTTACGACCTGGATTTGGGTCCCTAACCTCGTCGTAAGTCGGGGAGTACCTGTATTTCGGGAAATTAAGAACCAAGCGGACTGTGAAGAGCTGCAGAAGGACCTATGTGCGCTCCAGGAATGGTCGAAGAAATGGCTGTTGAGATTCAATGTCACGAAGTGTAAGAGGATGCACCTGGGACGTACTAACGGCAAGGAGGCGTATCATATGTCCCAACGGGATGAAGTAACTGCACTAGTTGAGACTGAATGTGAGAAGGACCTAGGTGTGTATGTTGACAATGAGCTGAAGTTCTCGGGCCATTGTGAGAAGAAAGTAAACCAGGCAAATAAATTATTGGGTCTTATAAGGTCGTTCAGATATCTAAACGGTCTGTCCCTCGTAACGATCTTCAAGAGTGAAGTGCTTCCCCATCTGGAGTACTGTCACCCCGTCTTGTCCCCGAGATATGCTAGGGACTGTTAGTTGGTTGAAAATGTTCAAAGGAGGGCCACCAGACTGGTGCCTGCACTTCGGCACTTCAGCTACCCTGAGAGATTGGAGCGCCTGAACTTGCCTAGCTTATACTACAGACGGGCAAGGGAGGACCTAGTTGAAGTGTATAAGCAACTGAGGGGGCACTACTCAGTCGAGTGTCCTTACTTGGAGCTAGCTGACGCTCGACCCACAAGGGGTCACAGCTCAAGATTGAAGAAGCTGCAAGTCCAGAAAACTGTGAAGGCAAACTTTTTCGAAGTGAGGGTTGTAAACTCTTGGAACAATCTACCAGAGTGTTGTGACGGCACCGAGTGTGAGCTCTTTCAAGACAAGACGTGACCAACACTGGAGCGGGTTCAGGTACATTCAGGAGCCGGTGCATGCCCAGTACTTGCCAACAGTGCGTAACAGAGACGTGACCGATCGCCCAAGCGGCTAACGAGCCGATCAGTGGTGAAGAGGATAAAAGGAAAAAAGTAAAAAGTACATGCAGGTAAACTCGGGTACTATTTGTGGTTGCTTAGCATTGCAGACAGTAATGAAGACGGATTTTAAGAACTACATACAGTCGGCCCTTAACATACGCGGGCTTAGCATACACGGATTTGCAAATACGCGGATTGGCCCGCCGGAGGAATATTCTGTACATTGAAGTACATTCAAATCGCGCGCCATTCATCTCGTGCGCGACACCGAACACAGGACACCGCCCGCTCCCACAACCTCATACACACACGCATAGCTCTCCCTCACTCAGCCAGTCTCGCTGTAACCACGCTTGTGTTGACATCAGCATTGTAGTTGCAAAAATATTACATTTCCGTGAATGTATTATACCATGCACAGTATGAATAGAATATCACTAATATAACAGTAATTTAACCAAAAACTATTAAAAAAACAAATAACTTATCTTGAACATCGGAAGGTCTTTTGTTTTCATTTAGTTTATCCTAATTTACATTGAAATACATTACGTTTCAGCAAAACTACTATTTATTTCTGAGAATATGGAAATGTAATATTTTTTGCTGAAATGACGTATGTATTACAGTGGAAAGTGACGAATGCAATGACTTTCGCTTTCTTTCGTTCAAAAGATGTTATCGTAATCGCTTTTCGAATGGTTTTCAGTTAAAAACTGTTGTATTAAAAAAATATTCTATCCTAATTCACTTGTGATGCAACAGTTTTTTAACTGAAAACCATTTGAAAAGCGATTCCGGTAACATCTTTTGAACGAAAGAAAGCGAAAGTCATTGTTTTCGTCATGATTTTATCCCACTTTCCGCATATGTTAAGGGCCGACTGTACTGTATATAAAGGGTATGCGGATAACCACATAAGAAAAAGAAAATACAAAGTTCCCAAGCGCTTTCTTGTAAGTCGCATCATCAGGGGTGAATATAGATTGAGTAGATGATGAAGCCGATATACTGTACAGGGGGTTCCCAGGTTACGAACGGGTTCCGTTCCTGAGGACATTAAGTCGGATTTGTATGCTTGACGGAACGCATGCAATGTGCATACCGTACTTACAGAACAATGTCTAAAATCCCACTGTATCACAGCCCAATTCCTTATAGACATCTAAAATCATTTAATTTAAGACAATAGAAATATAATGACAAAATTCAGTACTGAACCCATAAATGAAAGTAAAAAATAAATCAGATAAATAAAATACAGTAAATTTCAAGTTTAACCCTGTTCGTATCAGTGGGCATTCGTAAGTTAGATGTTCTTAAGTTTGGGACCCCTGCACTGTGAGATTGAGTACCTAGGGACAGCAGGTGTCCACTATATTCAGGTCACTAAGTTTCCCAAAACTTTCACCTGGTTACAAATCTGCTTAATGACAAAATTATCCAATTAGTACATGCCATTACTCAAATTCATGTTAACATATTTAGTATGTAGTAGGCAGCTATCAAACAGGGCGGTACTACCTCCTGGGAAGATATTGGAAGCATAATGTATTGTCTAAAGGTAGACCTTGCAGCCACATGGCATCACGAGAATTTAGACCAAGTCCTAGGTTGCCGATCTGTCTTTGCCACATTTACACACAATTGCAGGGTCTCAATTGTCTCTTACTATTGACAACACAACATATAAAACTGTACTCACTCTTGATCTGTTCAATTTTTTCTATTCTTTTATTCTCCTATGATGTCAGTTGACAATACAGTAGTAATATCTCCGTTAGCCAGAAACCCTCAAACCCGAAAATCTCCGATAGCCGGAATTGAAATTTGGTCGGAAAATCATTCCCAAAGCTGGAATTTTCCAAAAAAATTCCGGATTTGGGAACAAATTTTCGAGGTTGAAAACAGAATTTTCTGAAAATGTC